CAAGCATCATCAACGGCAGGTATGCGCGCAGCAGAGGCGGGGTGACCTGTCGCAGACATCCTAAACTTTGAGTTGCGACGCACTGGAGACGAGATGGCTAGCCTGGAGTGCCAGCCACTCCTCCTTGTAGACATCTGCTTGCGCTTCGTCCAAGATGTCGCCTGTCGAAATCCGGCAAGAACTATATTTCCGCGACAAAGCCTGGTGCACAGCAGACTTCAGCATCCCCCGCTGCCAACGCGCACCTATGTCGCGGATCTTCTTCACCACAGAAGGCGAGACGCGTCTTGAAGCCCCAGATTCCATGGGAGCCTAAGCCAGCAAGCTCGCGAGTCGAGACGCATATCGCTGATTTGAGCTATCATCTGTCACAGCGTCAGTATCAGTACTTGCTCTCACCACAACTACCATCGCCTACGACAGGACCCCCTCAGCAGCAGCAGCAGCAGCGGCTTCACGTTTGGGGCATTGTCGTTGTTTGGCAAATGGATACCGCAAGAGAATGCAGCTCCTGCTGATGGTGACGTGCCGGCGGTTTCTGCGAAACATTCCTGTTTGCATCAACGTGGCGTCTGGCCGTTCAGTGAGATGACTGTCTGCGATGTTCTTGTTGCTGCTGATTTGTTGTTGATACTTGCTGCTTTGGGTCGAGGTCTTGCTGCGACTGTCGCCTACATGTACTTGTTATCACCGGCAGAGGAGCTTCGAGAGTAAGACCCGGACAACCTTTTGTACGACGTCCTGAAGCTTTGCACCAGCTTGACGGGCGGAGTCCATGAGGCCGGTGTACATCTGTGCCTGAGAGTCGGAGCTCTACACGCCTCCCACCATCTCTCACCTCTCACCGTCCAGTTTCTCTTGACGTGCAATGATCATTTGCACGGTTGAAGCATCTCTCCGACTCTCCCCCAGACACATCGCCCCTATTTTTATGCCATCGTGTAGCGAGCTTGTCGTCGTATCTCATCTGCTGATCCTGCTTGGACTCGGCCTAGCAGGAAAGCACCCGTCTTCGCAGGCCAGGATGCAGGAACGAGATGGAAAGAGACCCGACCCTGGATTCCCTCGCGAGGCTTCTTTGCAGAGTCCGACTACAAAAGCCAGAGTTGTCCAGCAGGTCCGATTTTATGGCGGATTTGTTTCTTTCTCGGGCCCGGGTGAATACCAGCACACCAGATTTCGCAGCCGCTGTTTGTCAGTGCAGCCTGAGGCCTCCGGTCGTATGAGGAGGTCGAGCTGCTTTGGCACTTGAGGTAGGACAAAAGGGGTTGCTTTGTTTGTCATCGTCGGCTAGCTGTGAAATGCCTCGTTGATGATGGCCACCGAAGTCTTTACCTCGCCGCATTCGCGAAAACCCGAGTCTACCACCAGCGAAAAGCTGAGTGCGGAGCTTTCTCGGCCACGTTTTTGGCCTGCGAGTATGGAAGGAATGTCAGAGGAAAAATTTCACTCAGGAGGTCAACCGGCCTCCTTGACTACTGTCGGAATCCTCCGCTCCGCGACGGTCTCCAACTGGTGCAAGGGCAAACGAGTTGAGGTGAACCCGGTGAATCTACGCCTTCGCCATCCTCACAACCTTCGGTCTCTCTCCTCGGGCGCGGCCTGATTGAGGACCTTGCTAGTTGTCAATTGTGGTCTCTGCTCGACCACGGCATCAGGCTGGGAGGCTGGTGCCACAACCTTCGCACGACCAACACAAGAGAAGAGAAGACGCTCTGCCTCTCGCCGAAACGCGGTCCCAGCCACGGCCGTTGGAGGGCCGTTGCCAGGGCTCCGCGCTGCCAGGCCCAGCGCCAAGCCCAGCAGAAGCGACGCGGCAACCGGCAGCCAGCTCGGCGCAGCGGATGGCGCAGAGGGCTCGGCATCAAACTCCAAGGACTTCGGCACCACCTCAAGCCGGAATCCGGACAGCCGGTGATCAGAGATGCGAAGCGATGCGAAAACCCAGCGCCTGTCGCTCCGAAACATCATCCGGCAGGGGCTCGTGCGGCTCGTGCTCTTTCTCAGAGTGCCCTGGCTGCAGAACGGCATGACTGCGCGAGCAGTTGGGATTCAAGCCGGCGCTGCCATTTTTCTTTTCTCCCATGGCTTTCTCGAGGACTGCGGTCGCGTCCTCGTCAGCATGCAAACTTGCAGACTTCAGCGGCGCCATGTTGGGACTATCGGTCCTGTTCTCCAGCTCCCACTCGGGACCGCTGGCCTCGCAGCGCTGGCCTCAGAGCCCCACATGGGAACTCGGGTTCCTAAAGGCCGCTCGCTGTGCCAAGCTTCGTCGTTTTCGGGCGGCCGATCCCCTCGATGTCCCGAGCAGGCTGCAAGAAGGTCGGCGAGTTGGCACCTGCGAAGCTCAAACTTCGCGGTTCAGCAGAGGGGCCGGGCCACCTTCACATGCCTTTCAGCCGTGACCCATAGCATCATCAAAGCTCTTGGCACCGCAAAGCCGCAGCCTACAAGTGGCAATTCCGGTACGTTGACCCGCCTGCAGTGCTCAACTCCCAAACTCCAGAAACTGTCCTGCAGTCCGGAATTCCAGTCTCAAATCGGCAGTCTCACTGTCGTGACTTGGACAGCACGAACGAGAGCCAAATCCGCTGCGCAATTTAATGCCGCTGGGCATCTTCGTAGCCGCATAGCTTCCCGCACCGACGAGGAGGAGCCTTTCTGCACAATTCGCAGCTTGCTAGTCACCTGCCTATATGTATCTGTGATTTCTCTTCGACCATTCTAGGACGTGGACGTTGCTGCTTCTGACATTTTTGCAAATCGTCAAAAGCATATCCTCTGCAGTTATGCATGCGAGTATCCTTGTCGGGTATCCTCTCACCAAATTCCTGCACGGTCAAGGCAGAGTCTGCCCTCCTCCGTTCCGTGCAGTTGCAACAAGCTCTGTCGACCGGCCCCCCCCCCCTGCAAAAAAAAATCGAGGAGTCGAGGTGCAACAGCGGCGAGCGTGCAAGCGCAGCGCCTCGGCCGCGCCAAGACCTGGTGAACAGAATGAGGCTCTTGAGCACCAGTAGCCCTGATCCCAGAACAAGCCTCTTTGAGGAAGAGCATTGGGGTTGCAGAATGACAACTCTATGGCTCAATGCTCCTGCTGTGCCATTCATGCTAGCTCACCTCTCTTCGATAGCTTCAGAAGTCGTTGCAACTACCTGCCGGACAGCCCGTCCATCCGTACGTCTCCTTGCTTGAAACTCTACAGCCATGCTTTCGAAAGCTACAACATCTGACAGTTCCTGTGGCTTCGATCATGCTTTCGAGGCGTACTTCTGATGCTGCTCCCGGCCTGGCTCGTGAGCCAGCTGTGCAGTGAGCGGCAGCCATAGCACTTCAGAAAATCTCACAGAAGGTACGAGTACAGGCCAATGACTGGCAAGGCTAGGCCTTACGTACTAGCCCGGGCAGGTTTGGAGTGCTTCAGGGGCATTTTGGAGGGGCACCGTCGCGCCCTCGTTGAACTGGAAACATGAAATAGCATAGCGGCATAGCGGCATAGCATGTCCGGCATTTTGTCAAGTTGTGCTGTTGTCACCTGCACATGTATTGATTCCCCTGTCATGTGAAGCTGAGCCAGTGTAGATACAGAATATCATAATCAAACACGCTTCTTCCTTGCCATGTTCCGTACGAAGTATGCAAACGCACCTGCGATTCGTCAAGAACATCACGCATATGCTGCGACAGAAACCCGAAATCATCTTCGCCGACAAAATACCATCGCCCATCAAAGTCACCTGGAGTTTACTCGTCTGCATTCATTTCGTTCTACACTTGCCTCTAGCTGCTTCGTGATCGCTTAGTCACCAGAACTGGGTCACCGCAGCCACGCAGTCCAGAATCGTCTCGGGTCTGGCGCGCAGGGACCGGAAAGTGCCTCTCAGGCGATGTTGTCACAGGCACTGGTCGTGCTGAAGATGTTCCACGACAGATGCAAGCTCATTACGTAGGGGCGCTCGACGACTCATGATCCCACAACGTCATTCCCCCTGGCCAGCCACACCAACTTGAGCACATGGAATAGGGGCATAAGATGAAAATAATACTCACTTCAGGTTCGCCTGGTGCCGCCATCACAGCTTCCGCTCGAAAGGTCACATCTATTGTTTGCCGTAAGCAGGGAAGAACTGGGAATCAGGGTCGAGTGGGTCAACCTAACACTGAAATCGGTCTGAGACCACATGTGGCTTGGAGTTCGAGAGTCTCATGTCTTGATGGGTCATCAACTAGCTTCCAAAGTCGTCGAAGATCGCTGCTAGTCATCATGAGCTGGCCGGCAGCACATTGCTACTTGAGAAGAGTCTGCGGAGCACGGCGTATCATTACGCGAAGGCCAAGAACAACCTCACTACAAGTGGCCACAAGAGCTTATCTTTTCATGCTTATGCCAGGGTCTAGTGCAAGAGCTTGCTCTTGAACAAAGTCATCAAACTCTCTCCCTCTACGAGTACGGCAAACGGGCACCAATCCTTGGGTTGCACGATATGCATGACCCTTCTGTACAGGCTGTGCGGTGCAACCGTGCAGGAGAGTCCCTTCCGGAAGGACGACTTCCCGTTCCATCCAGGAGGATAAAGCGTGCCGGTTGCAAACACCCGACCCAGAGGAAAACCAGCAGCTCGCTTCGCATGGCAGAAGCAGGCCACGAGCCGGATCGACTGGTTTGCCAGATGGCAACCGGAAGTTCTAGAGGCCTCATGACCACACCATTCTCTTTACAGGTCTAGTATGGGAGAGGCACGAGAGATGCTTCTTGTGGCTTCAGCTCGTGGCTTCAACTGGGCACGAGACAGCTTGGCAGGGCAGGCCCACATGGTCGAGAAACTTGAGGGTTCCTAACGACATTCTCGCTACTTCATGTTACTTATGCCGTGGGTGCGTTCGGTGGTCGGATGGACTACGAGCAGTGACCCGACGCCGGGCATATCGCACATTGCCCTTGCTGCACATGTAAGACACATGCACCTCTCCGTCAAATCGAGGAGGATACAGTCCTCAACTCGTCACGATGTCAGGTGAGAGACCTCAAGGACCCAACGCACGGAATGTGGGCTGAAATGTTAACGACTTTGGCAGATCATCATGAGTTCTGCACGGCAGCACCGAACAAGAACGGCCGCATCCTGAACAAAACTGAAAACTTGCACGGGCCGCGAAAGACTTGCAAGATGTCGCGCCGTTCAACCAAAGCGCCACATGTTTCGAGACTGGAGTTGCAGTCGACGGCATGCGATATGTCGGCAAGCTTTGGAAGCAAGACATGTCAATCATCGAGTGCTCCCTCGGTAGAATCCACTGGCACAAGGCAGGACAAGAGCCAGGCGGAGGAAGCATGCAGGCACGAAGCAAAAGCTTGACGCAGAACCTGCTCATGATGTCGCCGTCGCCGTTGAGCCGAAGCGACACGCCCTGCGATCCCAAGATGAAGGCAAAGGCATTCGGCAAAAGTCGTGTTCAACATTCCCCTCGCCCGAAACTTCAGACTGACGGGACCAAGACCATGACTGGGACCAAGTCTCGCCTCTTTCCGGCTTCGCGCCCCAAGCTTCAAAGCGTGCAAAGCGCCCAGGCCTGGACCACAATCATGGCCACCATGAGGTTCACAAAGCGAGCGTCGAAACGCACGCCGTGCTTTCGACCGAGCCTTAGAGAATCTTTGCGTCGGTAACTGCTACCCCCGTCGGAGGTATCTGAATCTAAGGTCGCAAAGAAGAGTTTCAACGCCGAGGGAGCCGAGGCCTGAACAGCAAGCTTTGACCCATGAGGGACCCAGCGTTCAGCTTCGAGAGCCTGGCTGGATTCATTCGTTCAATGTCGCCCAATGCCATCCGTCATGCTGCCTGAAGCCGACCCCTTTTCCGGAGCGGATGAGGCTGGCAATCCCATTGACAAATACTTCGGGTTGCACCACGTCCTGTCGCAGCAGATGCTTCGAGCATGATGCTGCAAAGACCCACCACCATCCCATCCCAACCCAAAACGCAGCAAAAGGACAAGAAACAAGCTTGTGGCTGCAAACTGCGAAGCTCCCTCACTTCCTCCCTGGCCTACCCATTCAACGCACTGGCTCGTTCAGTCGTGGATCCCGGAGGCAAAGATCCTGTCCTCTGGCTTGCCGCCAACCCTCTCACTCAGCGAGATGAGCAAGCGCCTCAGCTTGTTCGGCAGGCGATCACCCTGACACGCACGATGTGGAAGCTGTGTTATGCGCCTTCCAACTCCTACCACCCTGCGATGAGAAATGAAGGCGGCGAAGTCCGTGGCATGGCATCGCTCGAAAAAAACAAATTGCAAACAGCAACGCACGCAGAAACTACAACCTCACGTAAAGCCATGACTTTCTGAGCCGCACAAGTACGCGAATGATAGCGACCAGGCGGTGACGAGATTGGGGACGGAAGCTGAAGCTCAAAACTGTGAAACCAGGCATTTGGACAACAAGTCACAGCAACTTCATTGAGGCTTGCACGCCACATCCTCCTCAGACTTTGTCAGGAAAGCCTGCACGATGAAAAGTTGCTTGGCGATGCAGCCACATCTGCCACAGCAATCTGATGCTTTGTTGCACAACCTGTCACAACTTCGGCCAGCCGAACTGCAGCATTTACGAACCCTCTTGCCTTCAGCATTGCAGACAAGTCTTCGCCGGCTTGGCCGGACAGGTCCTTTCCCCCGGTCACAGAGATGGTGAACCCCCTCTGCTCTTCTGCAGAATGCCACGAACCCAGGGCGAGTGCAATGACGAGGCCGCAGTCAAGCAAGACCAACTGCACCTGCGTCATTCATATCCCACCCATTCTCCGGCGCAGCAGGCTGACAAAAGTCCGAAGACCAAAGTCACCATGCCAAGATCTTGGGCGGGTTGGCTTTGTTGAGGGGGGTGGCTCGAAAGCACGGAGGGGAGGGGAGGCAAGTGGCAAGGAAGACAGGAAGAAACGATAGAATGAAGGAAGGAGGCCGGAGAGAATTTAGGCAAGATGGAAAATGAGTGGTGAAAACATAGATGACACAGATGAAAGTTAAGTGAAAGACCGTAAGGAAGGAATCAACCAGAGAGAAAAAATGAATGTAAGCTATTACGGAAGAACGAAGAAGGGAAGGAACTGTTCCTGTCTTTGTATGTGGATGGACATGCATACCGCAATCAACAACATCGAACAAGTAGATATGACACACACGACATGTCACATATGGTCACATCGTCGTCCGTACGTACCTCCATCCATCCATGCATCCATACACACATACATGCAAACAGACACAAACTTTGGCTTGGCACGGATAGCTGCGACGAGCGACAGACATGACAAGACGACGACAAAGTGGAGTGCAGATTGCAGCAACCGTACATGAGAAATGCATTCAAGCAAGAGCTGGCCACCAGCGGGAGTAACTCTTCGCAGGTGCGCCAGTGCGGCAGGTACGTTTTCACACATACTTACATACATGAATGCGTTTATGTACATTCGTTCATACATACATACATACATACATACATACATACATACATACATACACACATACATACATACACACATACCTAGCTACATACGTACATACATACATACGTACATACATACATACATACATACATATATACATATATATATATATACTTTGACTTTGAAAGCACTGCCTGGTCACACATAGCTATGTACGACCTACATACATACGTACACATACATCATATCTAACCTACACTAAACTTGTCCCAGATCCAAGACCTGTCCCCATCGTGTGCTTAACCCACGTGAACAAGCCCTAAACCCTAAATCGCTGAAACCTCACCCCCAAAACCCTAACTCTGTTGCTGTGCTGAGAAACGGTCAGCTCTAAATCCCAACCCCGACACTCAAAATGCTAAACCATGATAAACCACAAGCTTGCACGAGAACATCTCCACATTAGGCATAGCTGCACCCAAATGGTAATTCATAACGAAAGCTGCAAACCCTTCCAAAAAGCCCATGCTTTGCTGAAAACTGTTTCATGCGCACAGAAATGGGTCCGGGACATAGAGGCAACCAGTGCGTTCACCATTAAATCGGTGTCCGACTGTCGTTCGGTTTAGGTCGGTATGCTGCATCTGTTCGTGGGCAGCGCCTTGTGCATAAACGCGTATTTACGCATCAACACATCAACATACAAACATACCAGTAGGAATATGCACACACACACATATATATATATATATACATGTCTATGTATCCTTCCTGCTTTCCGGAGCTAAAGGCGCAAGCTCTCCTCGTGCCCCTCCCGAGCACCTTACTGCTACTGGTCTTCGTGCCTGCTCTGCTACTTTGGTTAAATGTGACTCCTCCTTGTACACTGCAGCCGGTTCGCCGGATCAAGGAGGCATGGACAATGCCATACTATATAAGGTCTTTGGGATGAGCGCCAGAAATCATACAAAGGTCAGCTGAAGTCGTGTAAGTACCCGAAACCCCCTACCGCCCAAAGCCCTCCAACCCTAAAGCTAAACCCTGCCAAAACCCACAACCCTAACCCTGATCCGAAATCCAGATAAATATGCCTGAAAAGTTGGAATAACCTGTGGGGTACATGTTATCGTGAATGTGTCGCATCGTTTCCGGTACTGCAAAACGAAACCGCAAGTGGTACTTGAACCCTCGGCTACGCCTACTCGTGACTCCTACCCCCACATCCGCCTGAAGCCCGAGGCCCCAAGCCCTAAATTCCTAAACTCCAGATCAACCCACAACCCGAAACCTGAACAGTCTAGTATTCCGCACGAAGCTCCTACAGCCCACTTCTCCCTTCTTCAGAAACCAGGCCAAAAACTCTTCAAGTATACATCAGATACATCTACCTAAAAGCTCAGAAGTCTGTCGTTGACAATGCAAGACTAAAGACTCAAGCCTACACTCCTAACTCCACTGTCAACCGTGAACCCACCAAACCAAGCGCCTCGCACCCCTAAAATCCCAAACCCCACTAAACCCCAAAATAAGAAAACCCTACGAAAGCCTAACCTGCCCGCGTGATCACCACGCGAAGAGCAAAAGGCAACATGCGGTAACATGCGGCTTGCCAGCAGCAAAGCCCAGGCTCCGGTGCATCGGTGTGAGATGAAGAAAGAGGTACCCTCCCCCGACATGCACTGCCTTGCCAGAGGCGTCGACTGGTGGCCGCCACAGTATGTTTCCTGCACACCACTCAATGCTCTACTGGAGGCCTTGCTAAGACTTGCGCTCAACCACTTGACATTGCCAGGCCTGGATGCAGATCACCATGCACCTTGAACGCTGATCCATGGCTCACGCACTGCCAACGAAGTGTGCACTTGCTGGATTCGGAACGAAGCGGTACTTGAAGACCATGGCCCAGAAGCTGTCAACCTTGGACAATGTCCAAAATCCTTCAGAGTCAGAGGGCCGCTCTAACTTCTCTGAGCACGCCACAAGGATTCGCCAAGCCTCCAGCCTGCAGCATGCTTCCATGATGGTACGAATGTTAGCCGGCAAGAAGTCATGTAATACTGTAATGCAACGCAGAGACCCAACTGTCGCGAGTGGCTTCGAAGCACCCTTTGCTCGTATGGTCAATCTCGTGCTCTTCTTGTCGTAGTAGCAGTGTGTGGTGGCGGTGGTGCTACGAGTAGGAGGAAGCGGGGGCGAAGAAAAGCAACACTAGAAGCAATAGCAGCAGCCGCAGCAGCGGAATCCCATGGACTGTTCCCTGAAATACTCAGCTCGGCCTTGGCCGATCCGGGCCATCTGAGTCGAGCAAGGAGGTCAGCGGCTCCCCCTCCTGGCACAAATGCATTAAGTACTCAGGGTACTCTTTGCTTAAGGTCTCGACTGTAGCTTGTCTCGCAGAACCACGCCTCGAAGCTCATCACCAGCACATTTGGCGCAACCCATCTGTCGAAGACCTTTCAGCAGATCACGAGTGCTCTCGGCTCTCGTGCAAATGAGACTTAGACACATTGCTAGTCGGATTACGAGTCAGCAATTAAGAACTAGAGTCTAGAGGTTGTACAGCGGTATGCAGTCCCCCATAGCGGGAATCGAACAGCAGACCCATGCTTCAGATTCGTCACACCCCCGTGCCGCCCTCACCGCACCCCTGCGACAGCCGCTTAGAGGTATACTCGCTCACTGTGAAGCACGTTCTGTGAGTCTGGACGGACGCTTGAAGCTTTGGAATAACCAGAGTCAAGTCTCCGAGAGGTGGAACAGTGTGAGAGAGCATGCGAGAGGCCCATGGCCTTGATACAATTCGATGCACATCGATGCAGCCTCAGGGATGACAACGCTGCCGTCGCAAGATGCCAGCATCTGCTTCATCCTGCTCAATCCGAGGCGACAGAAAGGAAGAGCACGGCGAACACAACGAATGCCTTCGTAGATTCTGCGCCTCCGTCTCAAGATTTGTTTGGGCCTCTTGGTGGCCACGAACAGCATATCCCATAGAGATCGTGACTCAATTTCGCCGCCTTGAGAAAGGCCGAAAACTGCCGGAGCATTAATGGAATCCCCAACCTGCAGCAGCGCAGGCTCGCAGTGAATCCAACTGAATTCAGGAAGCTTTCGCCCCACAGCCTTTCCGCACCTACATGTTTGGAGATGCCTGCCAGCTGATCCAGCACCTGCCGGCAGTAGTGAATCGAGATGCACTTTGTCATCCAAATGCATCAAACTGCCCAAAACAGCTACAGCTATTGCCATCACCATGCTGTCTTTCCACGTGCCTGCAAGTCAACATCCACAGCACGCTGTACCTGCGGCGCAGCGAGACAGGACCAACCCAGGTGGAGAAGTCGAGGATGCGGAGAGAAAATGTCAAAGGCTGCAGCAACTCCCAATAATGACAAAACGAGACCACCGCCGGGAAGCCTGCGGATGGACCACTTTGACAGCGACCTGGGCCAAAATGGGCGAGACACGCAGCACGGTGGAGGCAAAAGGCCCGTTACCTCCACGCTTGGACGGGCGGTCGATGAGCAAGAACCTTTTACAAAAGACACCGCGACTGGTGAATAGATCGAGTAGACATGGGTAAATACCAAAGTTGCAGAGACGGTGTTTAAGAGTGAAAGAAGGCTGGGAACAAAGCGAGAAACTGGTCTACAATCACACCAGCACCTTCTCCCTTCCGGCCAACTCAACAAGTCAGATCTAGCAGGCTCAGCTTAACCTCACAGCCTGCACCCGGAAAAGACTGAACCTCAACTCAAAAGCCGCAAGCATTTGCCCTGCGCGGAAAGACATCTCGGATCATCTCAGTCCATGCTCCATACATAGAGGAGACACGTTTGTTACATGCAAAGTCCCCCCACCCCACCCTGCCTCCACAGAAGCGGTGGAGCCGAGATCCAAGCAACCGCAGAGGCGAAGCCTTGTGAGGCCGAAGCATTCCGACACGTGGCAGCTGGATGCAGCTGATCTCATGCTCTTGCCAACCTTGGATGACGAAGCTGCTCCACCAGTCAGGAGCCGACCGCGGTACACCTGCTCTCAGCATCAGCATCTGGTAGACTGCCGTTCTTGATTGGAGCAGAACAGAAAAGGATTGTCGAAGACACATCACACGGGTCCAACCTGCGCGATGCATCCAGATCCTGATGCAGCGGCTATCGGAACAGCCGAATGCATATCTGATGGCTGAGGTTAAGCATCAGCTGCAGATAAGTTGTGGCAGAACACTGATTTGCTTCTTGCGGTTGGGGCAGGGTCTAACACTTCAGGTCCAATCCCTTCCCCCTAGCATTCAACGGCCGGCTGCACCTCAATAGATACTCGGAACGTGTATTTTTATTAGGGGGCATTTTTATCTCTACTGCCACTTTTGAGGGGAGGTGCTCTGGCTCTTGCTCTGGCTCTTGCTCCTGCTTCTGCTGCGTCTCTTGCCCCGTGCTCCTGCTCTTGCTGTTGTTCCCGCTGTTGCTCCTGCTCTTGCTCTTATCTTGCTTCTGCACCCGCTTTTGCTCTTGCTCCTGCTCTTGCTCTTACTGTGCTCTAAGGGTATTTGAAACCTCGAAACCCTTCCCCTTAATTCAGAACAGGTTTTAAAGGGCAGGGATGATTTCGGGAGGATTGAGCCCAATTTGTTCTTGTTATTCCGGGGGGGTGTTTAATAAAAGGGGTGTGATTCAAAGGCATCTTGCCGAATTGCTACTTCAACTATTCTCCAGCGGCATTCTCACTCAAGATGCTTACTTGTGGTGCTGAAAAGAAGTTGGTCATTGTCTTCCTGATTGCTCCACCTGCCACTGGTCCTGGGACAAGGAGGAAAAAGTAGCACGTCAGCAGCACGGGTGCCGTTGTCGGTCGGCTGGCTGCATTTCATGCGAGCGAACATGGCACACGTACGTTCGGGGCTGATACCCATCCATGCCGTGACACTAGCACTAATAATTGTGAGGGTTCTCTCTGGAGCTTCCCCATATTGCCCCTCTCGCTGTCCCGGAATGTAGCATGGCAAATGCATCCAGGGGTCCTATCGGCTCTGGCTCAATAAGCAAGTGTCGGAACCACCTGAAGCATGGCCACAAATGCGGAACTCAAGCGAGTCTGGTCTCTCAACAAATCAAGATTGCTAAACGTCTTGGCATGCCGGCGTGTCCGAGAAGGACTCACGCAAGACCTGCGTCCGAGCAAGCCAAACTACCAAACCGAGACCGAGCACTCGGAACACATGCAGGAATGTCATCGATGTCAGCAGGACCGAACACAGTGAAGTATTAAACAGTGGCAGTCGCTGCCCGAATCACCCCGCGCTCGAATGCATTGCTGGTTCTCCCAAGCGCAATGGCCACACAATTGAGTGGATATCGGATAGCATGAAGTGAGTGGCCCTGAAACCAACACGGCAGACCGAGACCCTGCTTCAAATCGCTGAACGGCCGAGTAGAAGCACCTTGTGCGTGTGCTGCAGGCTGTGAGGCTCTGTGCTGTCGTGCAAGTGGCCCAGGTGCGAGCAGACGTCCTGAAGTCAAACTCAATCACTAGAAGCAAGCATGACCATGACGATTGATTGAGGCCCTTCCAGCATCGTCCCAACATTGCATGGACCTGCATGGACCTGCCCTGCTCTCTCCGTCCTCTGGAATGAGGTCGGGTCGCGTGGCCGCCCATTGCCCGAGCCTCAGAACAGAGACATCCTACATTCCCCAACGTCGGAGAAATCGTCCGACGCCGGCACTTCACAAACACCGGCCCGCTGCGCTGCACCTTGAGCCAGCGAAATGGTGCTCTAGGGCTTAGGGCTGAAAACTCCGTGCCCTGCTACCCTACCAAGCTGGCACTTATGGTGCTAGGTTCGAGACCCTCCGCAGAGCAACGGCCCACCACCAGTCAACCTCAAGCGCCATCGCAAGCCGGTACGGAGGAGAAACATTGAAGCCAGTCGAGTCGAGGCACCCAGCTAGGGGCCCGCGGCCTGCATCAGGTCAGTCTACTTGCAAGGCTAGACCACAAGACCCTGCACATATACTGTCACATACTAGCCCACTTGTCGTGCAAAAAGAAGCCTGCACACATACTATTCCGCTTGTCTTGCAAGAAGAGGGCATGAAAAAATCAGCGCGGTGAGCCATCATCACGATCTGTGCCAGCACTGTCGCGGCTCCAAGTAAGCTGGATGTGCAAAGCCGTGTGCCGGACGGAATTTAAGACGGCGTCACAAGCGAACAGCGTCAAGCCCCGCACCGCATGCCCGACTACTGACAAGTGCTGCAGCAACTACTTCACACCTGCCTCGAAGCGTCGGCGAGGTTGCATGCTGGCGAACATCGATCCTTTGATGCCAGAACCGCTTCTGTGCCGTTACATTTCGATGCTGGAATGCAGACGGGTGGCTGCCACCAAAGAGAATGCTAGCAACGGGAGCAAGGGCAGGTAAAACCACCTCATTGCGATCAACCGCATCACGTCAAACTCACGCACATGTGCAGGTGATTTGCACCAGTTCCTGGCCCCTTCGACTGGGCCTTCTGGAGGCGCTTTGCCTCTCTGGGGCCCACACAGCAGCTCAAAGGCTCGGAGCAGCACCTCAAGCACTCGGCCAAGCCGAGAAGCTGGCTTTTGCGAAGTTTTCTCCACTCCCCGGGCTGGAAAGTGCCTCGACCGCGAAGTCCACCTTGCTGTTTATCCTGCAGATCATCATGACATTCCGACATTTGCTACCCCAGTACATATCACTTCACACGGCGGGGGTGGATGCTGCAGCAAACTGCAGGCTCGTTCGAATCAGCTTGATGGGCACAGTTGCACTTCCCCCTGCTTCTTTCCCGGCCTCTTCAGCAGAACACATGCCACAACTGCCTCACGCGGCGGCCATGCTTGTTCCACGACATCATACCACACTCCACCTTTCTGGCTGCAACTCGGATTCGGACGAACGTGAGCACCAAAAACCAGAAGGAAAGGGAACCAGGATGCTCATCATGTCCCTGCAAAACTGGCTGCTTCTCGGCATCGCTGACATGACCCCCCCCTGTTGATCGTTGAGGATGCTGCCAGCCACATCGCGAGCCATCGATCAGGCATGAGATGCGGTGCAGGAGTGGAGGTTGACCCTCTGGCTGGTGGCTTGTGATTGAAACATGTTAAAGGGGTGGCTGACATGTAAAGAAGTGGCTAGTCAGCGGTGCATCATGCAAGTTGCTTCTCTTGCTCTTGAAACTGAAGCTACCGACAGCACAGGCTGGCTCGCAATCAGCACGCGTGGAAGGAACCGCAAGTGAACATGACCACATGCTTCCGCAAGCCTCTTTACATCCGCTTCGTTCATGTCCAAGCCCGGGGTCGACCGTGGAGCCGCGTGCGGCTGATTCTTTGCCACATTGGTCTCTAAACCCTTTTGGGTTCTGCGGGGCCCAGAACAGGATGGAACTCAGTACGTTGGCGAAGACGAAACCGCGACGGGCTGAGCAAAAAGCACATGCCGGCATTTCAAACATCCGAAAGGCTGTGGCCACGGCCTGAGCTGGCATCAGAGCCAAAGGGTAGGGCGAGGCCTGGGCGAGGTTTCGCACTCCTTTGCTCCACTCTGCTCGATGGCTGTGCCGCACCCCAAGCGGCGCCAGCGTCGGCTGGTCCTGTCAAGCTCCCTTCACAGTCTCCAACCCCCAGGTTCCCTGATGCACCTCCCACTTCGCCAGGGGCAGCTCCGGCAGCCCGTCCACATTGCGCTTGGCTACCTGGCTCTGTTGTTTGTTTGGCTCTATTTTAGCAGCAGCCGCTGTGCAGATCAAGTTGCAGGAGGCCAGCAAGGTGTTTGAGGCACTTCCAAATTCAACCACATCAGGTGAGTCACTCTGGGGCAACACCATCATGCTAGAGAGTCTGAATGCAAGTTCGAGCAAGCATGCCCAATATCAAAAGCACAGCGAGGGGACCCCTTCGAGACCCCTCAACCATACCTGCACCCAACTCATGAAAGCAATGCGGAAGCAGGCCCAGCGGCCATTGTGTGGCGGAGAGCGAGCTGCTTCTGGATCTTCTGTTGCTGGGCCATTTGGTCCTGGCAAAGTTAAATGCTCGGTGAGACGAGCTTTTGTACACTTTGAGAGCCGCGGGGTGGGAAGAAAGCTCTGTAGTGGACCGGGCTGCTGAAAGACGACTCGGAGAGACGGACATGCATTCATACATATCACAGACAGACAAGCAAACAGACACCCAAATAGACCTAGATACGGGCATACATATACGTACGTGCATACATACATAGAGACATGCACGAACATAATCCGAAATGCATGCATGCATGCATGCATGCATGCATGCATGCATGCATACATACATACATACATACGGACATATACGCATGCGGACATAGACCGATAGGTATACATGTTCATACGCATAAATGCAGACGCATGAAATGAAGAACTATGTTTCACGGCATGCCGCCGAGAAATGAACTGCTCTCAGAAGAATCCACGCGTCCCTGCTGTCCAAGAAGTGCAGTCAACCTTGAGGCATTTTTAGTGAATACGTTTATGTATGTATATATATATGATACAACTTTGTACGGCTTCAAGCGGTAATCCACCATATACTTGAAAACAACAGGCTGGGACGAAAGCTCTCTTGTGGACGGAGCTGCTGAAACGATGTCACAGAAGCTAGAAACGTGTGAAATGAAGGAGTTGGCTCCACAGTATGCAGGACAATCCAATGCAAGTTCCGAAAATTGAACTGCGCTCACAAACATCTGCACTTCAATGTGGGCGTAAAATAAGCGACTTCTGAAATATGGGCTCAGTAAAGTCTCTCTCTTGTTCCATCTCGCCTGAAAATCAGACCTTGACAAACTCCACCCTTGGACCAGGCTTCTTAGTCCAGTCCTTCTTCTTTTGCACTGGACAGATATTCAAACAGGACCCCTACAAACAATTCAGCACACTGCGCCGATTGGACCCAGTGTCTCTGTCCAGAGCCCTGTCCGCGGTGTCAGAAACACGCCTGCGACCCCTTAGCGGGCCCTTGGCAAGAGATGCCCAAGGAAGCCTAGCCCGAAAGGCTGCCCAGTTTCCAGGCGGGGCTCCAATGTGGGAGCGCAGAACCCTCCCCCGGAACCCTCATGCAGTATCTCCGGCTCACGTCCTGAAGTATTGAACTAAGCTCCCTTCTGCGGGGGAACTCTCGTAACAACAACGACGCGTCCAAAATCAAATGGGGTCTGGCCTCGGGCCCTTTCCACTGCGGCGGTGGTCCTGGTAGGATCCAGCCAAGGCATGGCCCTCACGCAGATGCACTCGAGACCGAAGCAGTTTCCACCACCATCGACGACGGCTGGTGCACGACAGCATCCTGTCACCGCCTTTGTGTGCAAGTGCACGCTCACGAGCTTCTTCCGCGGCGCGGGGGAAAACTGTGCTGCGCATCTTGTTAATAAACTCGTGAAGCCCTCCAGGAGCAATCAGGGATTCGATACCGATATCTCTTGCAAGCTCGAAGACTTCATCCCGGAGTCTGTCCAGAATCTTGCGCACCATCTCGGTCCTCGCCTTGACGGCGTAGGCTGTGCTTGCGTCCATGGGCAGCGCTGCCATCGCGCTCTTGACTGAGCCCGAGTCCTCAGACTTCGGGGTTGCTGGGCGGAGATCAGCTCCCTTCTGCGGGCTACCTCTGTCGCTAACCCGTCCTTTCCAGGTACGGGGGCTGTGGCTGCTGCGCAGGTCGGGCTAGCAGCCTCGAGCTCGCTATCGGAGTCTTCCGCGTCGACTGTCTTGTCGTCCTTTCTTTGCCATCGCGCTCGCATCCTCGTTTTAGTTCGGCCGCATCGCGGTCCGAAATTGCCAGTCATGGAATGTAACTGAACTGTCCGTCATGGATACACGAACAGCTACGACTCTCCAAAGGAGTACTCGAGCCCGCACCGCGGGAGAAACGTAGACGTGCTACGCTCATTGTCAAACCAATGGTATGGAAAACTGGAGGGGAATGCAATGGACTCGCTACCAGCTTGAAATTGGCGGTCTTTTCCCAGCGAACTGCGAAACTGCTCGGTTAGCTCCAGGGCCCTATGGCAGCGGTGTATATAAAAGATAAAATCAACAGAGAAATAGACAGTGATTCACCTATACCGATATACAAAGACGCCCTACATATACGAACACATACGCATGTACACATACATGTACATGTACATGTACATGTACAAAAACTGTACACGTGCATGTACAGGAACATATGTTTTCTAACAGTCCTAGTTGTGCGTATATGTACTGTGTATACAACCACTTGCCGGTCCTCCAAGTTCCGAACCCGCAGGCCGGTGCGCTGGTTCACCTACCAAGCCCGGGGATGTGCATCGCCGACTCTGGCACTCCGAAGGGGCAAAGATGGTGCAACGGCCAGAAATCGCTTTTGTTCCGCATCACGTTGCAGCGCTTCGTGAACTTCTATCGATGTACACCGGTTCATGACATACCTTCGCTAGCCTGGGCCTAGTCGGCAATGCAAACAAGATAGAAGACTGAAGGAGATCTGCATCTGCCTGGACCTATCGTGACGGATGGGAGAGACTCGGCTCAGCGAGGCCGTGGTCACTTCTCGGAGTGGTGCAGTTCTGCCTGCAGGGACAGGACCGGCCGCAAGCGTCTTGCTCTGCGAGCCTGCGAGCCTGTCGGGAAGCCTCTGCCAGCTCGGACGTCAGGAGCGTCGGATCATCGCTGATGAGCACGTGCGTGCGAGCCTCCAAACCCGTTTTGCGAGGGCTATGACAGGGCTCGGGGAGCGAAGGAGCGAAGAGCTTGCCTCCAGGAGCTCCAGCTCCTCCCCGGAGCCCTTCTCCCAGGAAGGCCGCTTCCAGGACACCTGCTCAAGGCTCTAAACAATGCGACGGGAAGCAGCGCGCTCTCGACCTCGCATTCCTCGCGCCTGCTCTTGGCTGAGCGGTTGGAGGGTCAGGTCGCCGCACGCTGAGCGCATGAGCTCGCCAATGAGGGTGACCTCAGCCATCGTAAATCTGCCCACGATGAGAGCGACGTGTCAAGACTAGAGCCCCGGGCCGTGGCACCCGTGATCAGGCAGCACTCATGAAACTCAACAGCTGTACCTAGGGAAGCCGTGGACATCGCTGGACTTCTCAGTTGACTCAAACAAACATGGTAACTTCTGGGAGTGGCTGCTCGCAGCACTACATCTGTGATATTTGAGCCTCCTTAGCAAGGTATCAGAGATCTAAAACAGATCTCGAGGCTTCGGCCTTTGGCTCGCAAGCCGTTCTCCATCGCATGATTGTCTGAAGAGCCGGTGCCTCCAAGGAGAGAGGGGGGGCCCTCTGCCCAGCCCCCAGGCTCAGCACGGCCTGCAGAGGACAAGTGGGCCGAGACGAAGTCTTGCCTCAGTCCACACGAGACAGAGAGAGAGAGAGAGAAAGAGAGAGAGAGAGAGAGAGAGAGAGGGGGAGGGAGGTGGGGGGTTGGGGGCCGCATCTGGACTGCGAGCAGGCGGCCAATGGTCTGGAGCACATGGAAAAGGCAAGACCTTGAAAGCATGCAATGCAAGCCATGCACTGGAACCACACCGTCCGACCGTCCTCCACCCAAAGAAAGAGAAAGAGTCAGCGAGTCGGAAGGCCCGCACTTCCGCAAACTCGCACTCCCTCGTTGCAAAGAGATTCACCTCACAGACTCACAGACCTTAACGCCTGTATCTAAGACCTAGCATATGTGTAAAGTGTCTCAACTTTCGTCTTCGTCGGGCCTCGGAACCAGAGACTCTGATGTCCACCCGTGGTGAGCCACACAAAGTCACGATGAAGTCGGTGTGCTGGGAAGCAAAAGCGACCGGCAAAGGCATGCCTCGCGAGCATACTAGCATCAATCTCGCGGAAGCTATCCCAACCAAGCTGTGCTGCCTCCGTGGACCCTTCGGGACGCGTTCGCCTCGGCCCACAGGGCCACATGTCTCTCCGAGTCATGCAGGCGCGTATGCGACCCGGACAGTGTAAAGAACGCATGGTCGCCGGGTCAGGGGTGCCAGGAGCGGCTCCGAATCCGCCTCAGTGGCGCAAGGATGGAGTCGTATTCCCGTGCCGGATGGGATGCAGGGAGACACTTTCACAAGCACTGAGAACTCTACCGAAGTTTGAATAACGGCTTCCAGACGCAGTAGCCTTGGGCCGGGCCCGTCTTAAAGGTGCATCGGACTTAACATGCCGTGTCACATAGATTGCATTGCTCCGTTGGCATATAGATTTGGGCTGCGCGACTGCCGGCTGCTCAAGGGCTTGGAAAAAGTCACGTCGTAGCCGCCTGCAGATGGAAGGAGCCTCTCGACCTCGGAGCGGAGCATCGAAAGGAGTGAACCGATTGAATCTGTGCAGTTCTTCGCATTTCGCCCCGCACCTGTGCGGCAGCGCTCACCGGAATTGCCTGTCGCCCCGACGATCATTTGTCGGTGCTGACATGAAGTCATGAAGGCCAACGTGCCTCGACCCGTGACCGCAGGGCACCCACGGAGCCAAGATCGGCATCGAACTCCTCCGGAGTTTCTCAGGCCGGTCAAGGGTCTCCCGCTATCATTGAGGGATGTCATCTATGACTGCCGGCCGGATAACGCCCAGTGCGCAAGCGCTTCTGCTTCGACTTTCGAAATGTTTCGTTGCAGCTGTCAAACTTCCGCTGCACTTCAATCAAGAACGAAAGACGACAGGGATGTCAACCGCGCAATGGAAAGCCTGTGCCGACAGTAGATTTTGCGCCTTGTGTACCTTGGGTCTTCCTAGTTGCAAGTGCCCTCGACCATCAGTGGTCCTTGTCTTCCCGGCTCAGCCTCAAGACAGAAAGTCACAAACACTTCTCGGTGCACACAATGCTGCCTGCGACCTGCGAATACCTGAGTTGTCAACTTTCGACTGCCACCACAGCTGCCCAAGCTGCTTTCGAGCAGATTGGCCTGAGGCGAAGCAACTATGTTCCAGTGTTGGAAGCAATTGCACCGCCTGTAGGTGAACCCACTGGGGCTCTGGCAATTGCTTTCGTTGGAGGCTCTGGAGTCTTGCCATTGCTAGTCTGCACCTGATCTTTCTTGTCCACAGGCTCCTGGGAAAACCGAGCAGCTGGTTTCACCCTGCATGCTCGCTTCGTCTGCGCCTGCAGCTCGCTGCCGGTCGGCTCGGTCGAGAGGCCTTAGCACGCAGCATCTCCGATGCAGTAGCTGCGTGTCATAAGTTCCGAATCACCACCCCCTGGACGGTGCATGCTGTCTCCAAGACTAGAGTCCTTCAGGCCCAACCCAAAACACTGGAGACATCTTGACACTTCCCAAGGCAAGCACTGACATGCGACAGGACACTCCTGATGACGTTGTCTGCCTTGCAGGAACACCATGTTACCACACAGCTATCAAGAACGGTTTGCCGCTAGGCGGCTGATCTACGCAGTATCGGAGTTACACACACACACACACGTACTGCAAACAATCGTAAAAGAGACAAAACTGTGCAAAACAATTGGGACACCGTCACAAAGTGGGTAAATGCCAACAACTCGTACTGGTTGCCGTTTGATCCGTTTACTGGATGATATTGTGCTTTTGCTGATGACAGTTGCAGAAAGAAGGTCGGAACAACAGGTGCTTCACTTCTCTCCGTGTTTCCACAACCTGGCATAGAAAAGAACAGTTCTGTTGAATGCGCGTGGTTCTTTTATTTGAGGCGGAAGGCAATGAGAGTGCTCTTGTTCGAGCCCAGCAAGACTGTTGGAGGCGAAATTTGATCTTGTATTACTCTGTCGCGCAGCATCTTAGTTGGCATGGCGGACACTAGCCAGCCAGCCATGCCACTTCCGCGCGAACGGGATGCTCCCACCGAACGGGATGTCCCGACACATTTGGCGAAGTGGATGTTGCAGCTGCGAGACGATGCAGCCAGAGTAGCACCACTGGCCATGCGTGGATGCGGGTTTCCACGGATGCGGAAGATACCACTGAAGATACCATGATAGCAAGTGGCAGGATCTTAGGCCACGGATGCGCCATGGAGACAAATGCTAGGTCACAGATGACGGACGGATGATGGAGAGATGCAATTGCTGCTGGGCTCCTCCTCCTACTGTCCTACTGCAACAAATACTACGACTGCGACTGTGACTACTACTGCCGTTGCTGCTGCCGCTGCTGCCCCTGCGGCCGCCACTGCTGTCGCTGCCGCTGCCTCTGCTGCTTCCGCTGCTGCCGCTGATGCTGCCGCTGCTCATGCGCCGGATGTGGCTGCCGCTGCCGCTGCTGCCGCTGCTGCTGCTGCTCCTGCGGCGGATGAGGCTGCTGAGGCTGCTGCTGCTGCTGCTGCTGCTGCTGTTGCTGCTGCTGCTGCTGCCGGGATGCTGCTGCTGCTGCTGCTGCTGCTGCTGCTGCTGAACCTGACATACGTCGGGAAGCAAGATTCGCCATGGAGGCACAGCTTTCAAGTTAACGCTTTTAACTAGATCGCATGGGCCACCACAAAAACCGAAATGACTTCGGAAGCAGAAACAACTCATCAAGATCACACCTTCGCTAACATCGTTTCACACTTTTGACACGGCTGCGAACCCATAGCACCAAGAAGACGAAATGCGAACCGGCATAACCACGACTGTGGAAAACACAAACTCCCATGCAGATGCAGCTGTAGACAGCAAGAGCACAAGCACTGCGACGAAAACGAATACCTCTGCAGACACAGGCTTTGACGGCAACAGCATAGCCACCGCGAACAGACACCACCATGCAGAATCCCGATGCGGGCGCAGCTTTAGACACAGCAAAGCCACAGCCGAAGACGAAGCACCACGTAGACGCCCTGTAGAAAAACATAAAGCACGAATCTCCTTGCAGCGACAGTTTGAGCAAACAAACCTCAACAGTAAGGCGGGTCACTGCAGCGGTGGATACGTGCCAAGTGCTGTTCCGGAACACAACAATCAGCACACAAAAAAATGCTGCACAGAGTAGCCTTCTCTTTGTGTTCCAATGTGACGCGGCGCTAATGTGCTTTGGCGGGACGCTACAACTGAGAGCAAGTACCCAGTATCACAGCAAGATCCTCTGGCCTTCGTGAGAGCGAGCAACATGAAGAGCACTGCAATGCCCATGAAGACAAACCTGTGATCGCAAGCGTGATGTCAATGTGCTCTTCGCTTGCGGGTAGGCAAGGCCCGGGCACGAGGACGACCCTCCGAAGATGACGCTGCCCGCTCACCTCGAGGCGCTCACGCCAGCCAAGACATCCTGAGCATGGCATCGCTTTGCCCGAGCCTTGCCGTGCTTGAAGTCGTAGAGGCCGAGCCTGGTTTCCCCAAGAAACTTGTGGCATTGTTCTGCATACTGTTGCATATTGTTGCATGAGCTTGCATGTTTGCGCCATGCTATGATTTGTAGCCGGCGCACCACCTCTTGGCAGCGACTTCTGTCGGCAGTTCCTCCGTGTCGTGGACCTGGCGGAGAGGGCATCGGAGGGCAAACTGGCGTGAGTCTTGATACGCTCTGAGACGCTTGAGGTGTCTGGACCTCTCTTCTCATGATCGAAGCGGGCGATGAAGATAGCACGTCGGCGACTGCCGCTGCATCTTGGCGCCCCTGTTTAACTCCAGGGTGCTCAGAGGGAGTTCTCCTGTGCAGCAGTGCGATGAGAAAAGCCTCCATCTCATCAGCTTTCGGCAAGGTGAAGTCATCGGCCTCTTTCATTCAAGGCTACATGCTTCCGGAAACGGTGACTCTGCGACTTTCGGGGCCAGTGTGTGCATATAAGAGTCTGCTTCGTTTAAGTTCCGGCACTCTCCGTCCCGGACCGGACGACATGCATCTGTCACTTCGCACACGCGGGTAGACCCTAACCCGACTGCCATCAACGTCGCCACTTCCCGGAAGACTCAGGCCGACTGTGCTTCTGGGCAGCCACTGGGGACTGGGGCTCGGGCTTGATCTTCGGCGCCGCTTCCATCATCTTCCTGCTTCGCAACTTCAACATCTGAGGGAATCGGTGCAGACCAATACTCCGAATACCCGAAGCCACCTCGCTGTAGTCTGATTTTTCCTGGAACGAGACTGCCGTGCAAATCCCTGCGTCAAGCTTGTGCATCTGTGCCAGCCTCCGCCTCCATTTCCATCTCCTCAGACAAACAAGTCCAGGTGCAAACGTATGTTGAAACCTGCTTGAAAAGGCCCTGAATTGCTGCGCCGTGTCGTCGGGGACATCAGAAATCTTTGCCACCTCAACCTCCACGCCGGAGCCTTCTCTCTCCTCAGTTTCACAAAGCGCAGTGCTGCTCAGCTTGTGGTGCAGAATGTCCGAGGCTCGTGAACCCTCACCGCATGGACAGGCCCCTGGGCAAGAACAGTGGCGTAAGGCCATGAAGACGAGGTCAGGCTGTCCGACCTGTTCTGACTCTTCCTGGAAGAAGGTCACGGGAATGTTCCGCGAGGCCTCAACCTGCACGGCAGAACCCTCCCTGACAGACACTGAACAACGCACAAGGAGCATGTGCCCCGACCTCAAAGTGGCTGTGGACGGCATCGGGCCTCGTCTGCTGCGACATGTCTCGGTGGCGAATTAGCACGACTGCCCTTATGCCTTTTTAAGTCTGTCGGTAGATGTGTCGAGGGTCCATAACATACCTATGAACCAGAGTATCATGTTTATGGGCACAAGAATGTAACGCACGCGAACACTGCCAAAGCTCCAGCGAGGGATTCTAAGACTCTGGCCCGTGTTTGTGGCTGGAACGAGCTTGGTGGTGGCTCAAACCTCCATGCGAACTGACCTGCCAGCAAGACCCGCGGCTCCCCAGGCATGCGACCATCGACCCTTCGGCAGAAAGTCTGACCCGTTGCCTCTGCTGCTGCTTTCGGGCCATGCTTCGCCTGCCAGGAATCTCAGAGCCCAACCCTGTCGCAAACTACCGTGTATCGTACCACACAGTCCCTCGAAGCCTTCGCGTCTTTCGTGCGTGGTTTGCCATCCTTCGCTTTGTGTCTCATCTCCCTCCTGAGCCGACACTTCAGATCGGCACACCAATGCCAAACACCTCTCCACATACAAACTGCAGCCGAAGCACTTGATGGCAGCCTCATGAGCCTTGCAGCGTTATATGATATATGAGGTGCACAAGTTCTGACCGACTGAGTGCTGCTTTCGGCACGAGCCTTCGGTGCATGCCTTGGGCTGGGCCGATGGCTGACCTTTCCAAGAAAGATCTGGTTTTGCTTTGCGGTGTTACGGTGTTCACCGGCCTCGTGTCCCCAAGAGTCTACAGCTTGAGCCAGGTGTGCACGCTGATGGCCATGGTCTAAGTCCTTCGGCTCAGGTTTATTCCCTCGCCATCGGGAGTCTGCCGGGCTCTCCTGGTCCAGCGCAAAGACTGCAATAAGCGAAAGCCTTGGCACGACTGCAACGGCTGCAGGAGTCATAGACCTTCGCGTCATCATCGCAATTGCCAGCGAGAAGCGTCCAAGCTGCGAGGAATCGCATCGCATTTAGCGCACGATCACCTCCGGAAATGGTCGGGCAAAACTTGAGAAGGGGCTGCCCCCAAGCCCTCACGTCGAGAAGACGAACACACAAACGAAAACGGAAGAAGCTGCCGACCTCTCAAGTGAGCTATATCTATATGACTATAGGTGCAAGCTGTGCCCCTGCGGCCCCTGCCCAGAGCCTTGGACTGAAAGAGGTCACTATGCGAGGAAGACCAGCGAGCCTGGGAGTGAACTATCGCAACCACACTGCAAGGCGCGGCCTTGCTTCAAGCTGAGCAGCTCTTATCAGAGAGCCACTTGCTGGTTGGTGACCGACATGGAAAAAGAGTTCTAGACAACGATGGGGAAGGAAGAAGCTTCCTCGAGCCGAAAGGTCAGTACAAGTAGCAAGCAAGTCATCGACTTGCACATGCTCTCACTGCAGCTGGCTGCAAGTTAGCAGCTAGCTGTTCCTCCACTTTCGCGGCCAAGCCCGGTCACCATGAAGCATCTGTACACTACTCAGCGCGCAAGCTCAACTCCGCTGGGGTTTTGGCCGCCTGGCATGGATAGCGAAACAAATACACTCGCAGCAGCGACTCCTCAAGTCTCTCCACCGCCACATGCAACGGCGTAATGCAGAGATATGCAGGGAATCTATTGAAGCGAATGACGATGCATCACAACGCTGGATCACAACACTTTGGTTGGACACTCTGCCACTCAGCCGGCTCCTATTTGGAACAGAGTAGTTTGGGAACGCTAGCGAAGGGCTCTACATGTTCATGAGTTCATGAGCACATATCTTCCACCAGGGTCTCCGAACTGAGGGCAGCTTTCGAAAACTATCCGATCTTGAGCTCCCTTGGCTCAGAGATCACTGCGTGTCGGGCGGAATGAAGATGTGCAAAGCGGGCAGCCTGAAGCCATCGCCGGAGTCGCAGACCATCAAAATTCTCAACAGTACGCAAAGTGCGTCCTTCGGGCTGGTGCTTGTTGAAGCACTTTTCGATGGCACGGAAACGGCGCCGTCTCCGAGTCACCTGAGAGATGAGCTGGATCAGCTGACTCGCAGCAAGAACAGCGACCTTAAGCCCAGGAACGGTCTCAGGCAGCTCGGACAACTCCGGCGGCTCGGTTGTCGGCTCCGAGCCCTCACCACCGGACTCCTTGGGACCCCCAGGCTATCACGAGTGCCACATGTTCAGCTGCAGCCGGTCCTGCGCAGATTCTGCGGAGCTTTGCCCACCTCATGTTCGCATCGTTTGGGTAAACAGATAAACGGGGGGGCAATGAAAGGATCTACAAGATCTACAAGAGTGGGGTGACTATTTGCACAGGCCGCGGCTCCAAAGCCCTGACAAATTCTGAACCCGAGAGCGACGAATTTCTCAATAAGGCAACTACCATCACCACCACGACGACGACTACTGCTACATGTTGCTTGGAGTGTACATAGGTTCTGAAACTCGCCCCGCTGATCTTGAAATTCAATGGCCAATCGCATCGACACCTTCCAGCTCCGACGAGCCGTGCAGGAACCATGCCACGGCTCCTCTTTCATTCCGTGCTTCAGCCGCGTGTCGATGGGTGCGATGACGCGCACTTTCAATCGCGGGACAGCTCCTGCGCTTCGCGGCTTCGTCACTAGCAGAGAAGCAGTCTTCTCCTGTCACACATCGCCTTCCTTTCTGCCGATTTCTGCTCCGACCACAGACTGTCACAGAGTCTCGGGGTGGATCCAATATGCAGAGTAGGCAATGACACCACGGAATCTTGCAACGACGCAGGGTCTGAAAGTTTAGGTCAGAGAAGAGATGCTCGAAAATCGATACACCAAACTCGATCTAAGAATGAACCCCGCATCATTCAAAAAAAGCATCTGGAGCCCAAGTCGCTGATTTCAGATGACCTGGAGCAGGGAAGACACCGTCGCATTCGTTGGAAGAAGCTCTCCTCCTGCACCAAAATAGGTCAGGACTAAGGGCCCAGATTACCAGAAGCACTGCGAGCTGTGACAGCTGGTCCCTCCTTCAGGCGCTTCACATCGGGCGGAGTCAAGCTACTGAGTGCCGTCCGAAACCGAATAAGCCTCAGGGATACAGCCAAAAAGCGAGTCTCTTGGCAGGCAAGGAATCTCGGAGCATCGTGCGCCTTTCAGCATGAGGACTCTCGTCGCCCACGCTTCGGGCAACGATGCCTCGCGCCGACTGGCCGCAGCATAGCCTTAGGTGCCACTTCGGCAACGAGGCAATGTCATGTTAAAACGATCGCCAAGGCTTGAGTGATGCTCGACCAGATCACAAGCAGCTCTAGTATGCGAGAAGTTCAACATTAACAGGCATGCCCGACGCGGTGCTGATCCAAGCCCAAGCACATTGCAACACAGCAATGTGCACGCTGTTCCTCCTCCTTTCGGGAGCTTGGTGATCTGTCAACTGTACCACGGACGGTCACACGAAGCCAAACTCACAATCCTCGCTGCTGGGGTTCTCTCCAGAATTTTGGAGCACGGCCAGCAGCCCGCTCGAACTCCTCAAGTAGCTCAGTTACAATCGCTTGAAGAATCCAGGTCAGAGCTTGCTTCCGTGCCGTTTGCACAGTCAAACATGCAGGGTCCCGGTGAGATATCCGACTTGGAGTACATCAGTTATATCGTACCACCGTACATGCAGGGACTGCTCAATTGGGCGAGGATCGTTCCTTCTGAAATACGCAACAATCATCAAACTCATCAGACAGTGATACACAGACTCTTCATGTCTCTAGTGACTCCAGTGGTTCCGAGGCAGTGGTTTTGCATTATTTATGTACTCAACCCTCAATGAACCATTTTCATCCAGCCGATCTTCCATCAAGGCGTTGCAAAAGCCCAACAGCCGGAGCACAGAGCCGCGATCTGACAAAACCGCGAATCGCGAAGGCCTCGCCTGCGTATTCTCAGTTCAGTTGAGATCATGTTACATTCGTCACTGCGGGCTAAGAGCAGGTCCTCGATGGTACCCCGAGGTGGTCGTAGATGGCTTTCAAACGGCGGAAGCTGATTGGCAGGTCCTCAACCAATCTCTCGAACGAACTTGAGGTGTTCCCATAGTGCAAAGCAACACTGTCGACATGGAAATACTGAACGCTTGCCTGCGGTTGTTTCTATGCAGCTGCTCAAGCAGGTATACATGAATCGTGGACCCGCCCGCCCTGCTGCATTTGAGTTTGCAGTTCGTGGTAAATAGATGACAGGAGTGCTTGTATTGACACGAAGAGGCGGTGGGAGTGTTTTGCCTGAGCAAAGTGCTCGGCTGCTACGGGCACCAACTGAACCGGAAATGGTCCTCTTCTTTGCAGGGCACCTGACACAGTTTTACAGTCCAAGGCATGCGTCAAGCGGATCATGAATGTTGGAGAGGGCTGCAAAAAGTAGGCGACTTCCAACGTCAGCCGGCCTTTGGCCCCACAGCGAGATGGGCGGGTACGGCCAAAGCCTTCAGCGCCTCCTTCACAGGCATCTCGCTCCACTCGGTCCCCTGGCTCGGACGAAGTTCCGTCCTCGGAGGCAAAAAGCTCACACATCCAAATGCAAGCCCCTTCCTTGCAACTGAGCCACGGAAGATCCCGCGGCTGCCCATATGCTGCTTCCTGTTTGATGGCCTCCTCAGGAGACATCACTGTGCTTTCTCTGAGAATTCGGAGACGTTGGCATCCTGGGCCTCCTCCTCTGGCTTGAGGCCGGAATCGTCGAAGCAATCAGCCTGCAAGCTGTGGTCAGTCTTCCATACTTGTAGCACAAGCAGGAGAGAACACGAGCTTGCAGATGCCGCGGTGGCTCTGCTGACATTCAACGTCGTCTCCAGCACATGCGGTCCCAGGACCGGCACCAGCAGAGCCACTATTGCTCAAGACTCAAGACACTTCAAGCCGAACGACATGAGAAGGAACCTCTGGCCCAAACATCACCGACCTGTACAGGACCCAGGACCTGCATCATCAACCGTCTTATTGCTCCTGAAACCGCACATGTGTGCTTACAATTGGTCTGAATCGCATGCGCGGCTTGGAGACAGTTTTAAGATCCACATTGCCCAAATCTTAAATCTGCGTGATCCTGAAGACCCGGTCTGCGATCAGTGGCCTCGCCGCTCAGGAGCGCTTCGAAAGGTCGCGCTTCCAGCTGCCTCCGAGAAGGCGTAGAGGCTGCGGACACTGCGTGCTCATGGTCTCCCTCTGTCTCCCTCCGCGCCTCAGCCGCTCGGCGGCCTCAGCACCGGCCAATCCCGCCGAAAGCTCCGCCCTGAGCCGAGGCTCTGCAGGCTGATTGACAGGGCGCTCCCCTGGACACCTATCGCCCACTTCGCTTCGCACCCAACCTCAGAGCATCCAGGTCCGCCCGGTACAACACGGCCAGCTGACGAGGTGGCGGGGCGCCGCTGGCGTCCACCAAGAGGCTCTGGCCTGCTCGCGGAGCTTCTTGGGCCTGCTAGGCTCTAAGCTCTCTCCTAGCTGGCAGATGTAAGCAGGACTTTTCAGGAGTGTGTAAGAGTCCTTGTCTTGTGGGCGTATCCATGCTGACAAGCACACGGCATTCTGCCTCGTTGATTTCAAGCTTGGCGGACGAGCGTGTTCTGCTACACCACACTACACATGCAAGACCAACGGCCATGCAACCAACGAACGTGCAAGGTGCATTATTCGTTACGGCCCACTTAATCACAGCTCGCCATCTACTACAGGTTTACCGCAAGCGCCTTCTCCCTTCTGGCCGCTTGCGATCTTGCGGCTGGATGCAGACTGCGGCACGAGAAATGCTGGCACCTCGGCCTGAGGTTGGAAACACGGATCTTGTGCCACAGTCGAGTTCTAACCATTCCCTCCTGGGCAGTACCGACGGAGAGGTCAGTCGCTTCGCCCTGCACAAGATGCAAGAAGCGCATCCAGGTCTTCAAATCTTTGAGCTCGCATGCCGCACCTGCACCCCCACTTGCTGCGCAGCTGCCAAGAGCGTGCGAGCATGCCGCCGCAATGCTTTGAAACGTGGATTGACCATCTGCTCTCCGTCCTGGGCTTCTGCATTCTTTCTGAAAGTCACTCAAGCTCCCTTGCTGTCCAGTGTCCAGCAAGACCGGTACTGTGGGGAGGCGATCCCGCAACGCGCGGCGGTGTGCCGCCTCAGCAGGGGAGATACTGCATCGAGCATAGCCCGCACTTTCCTGAGATCCCGACAGTGTAGAAAGCACTGCAGACAGCGATGAAATACCTTGACGGTCCACGTGGAACGCACTCTTTCGCTTTGGATGCCCACCGGCTAGGTGCCTCAAAGCCTGAAGCGCTTAAAACCAGCGAACCTGAATTCAAACTTGCATGACGGCCCGTTGCTTACAAGCGTTCCACCAGCTGATTCCGACACCTTTTGAAATCTCGCGAAAAATCAAGAAGCATGCCCTGAGGAAGATCCGGTCAGGGACATGCTCCCAGAGGACACAAAAAGCCTGGATTCCTTGGGCGAGGCACCCTGGAGGACGCGAAGCCGCTTTGTCGCAAGCCTGGGCGGCTCTGCAAAGGACTGTCCGGCTTAGGGAGCTACCAGCTACCCCCCATGCCTCCACCAAAGCGTTCTCCATCAGCATGCAGGTGTATTCCTTCGTGACCAGGGCTTGATGTGCTTGATGTGGCGACATCGGGACATGCTTCCAACATGTTGACTTTTTGGCCAAGCATCGTGACCTGGAAAGAGCCACGTCTTGTAGCTCGGTTCACAGGTCTCCTGCACGGCAGCAAGTTCCCGGCATCACAGATTGCACCGAGCGAAGCAGGGGCTGGTGTCCAGTATGGTGCCAAAGCAATGCTCCATGTCCAACTCGCTGCCCTCGAAGTTGGCACCACACCCACCAGAAAAGAGGGTGTCACCGGTGAAAAGAGCATCCAGACCTCGCAAGCTTTGGAGAGCATCAGAACAGGCAGCTTCGCAGAAGCTTCGACCCTTCGTGCCATGTCTAGAGACTGTAAGCGTTGAAGGCCTCGTGCTACAGAACACTCGGCACATCTCGGAACCCCTGAGAGACTTGAACCTCAGGCGAGGCTCGCTCGTCAGTCTCCGAAGGTTGGGCCTTCGCAGACTCACTCCTTACGCTTTTCCTGCCCATGCCGTGCCATGCCCCGCCATGCCCTGCCATGCCTTGCACGCCAATCGAAACATCACGCTTCCCTGCGTGTGGCCTGGGGCGCCGATCGCCTCACAGATCCAACTGCTCCCCTTCCTCCCACTACATCCAATCTCTCAGCTTCTTCGAACAAAAATCTTGTTGTGACCTGACACTGAAGCGGCATCAAAGCATCACCTGGAAGCTGAGGTTGGCAATCTCGATGCAGTCCAGATGCTGCACCTGCTTCCAAATGATTCCCAACTGCAGGGCGAGTTGAGAAGGCCGCAAGCGTTGACGAAACATGAGCTATGGCACGGGATCAGTGCAGCCAGGAACATCGTCTTCCAGCCCTGCAAGTAACCAGCACTGTCTGCAGTGACCCAGACTCGACCATCAACCGATTCACACTTGGGAGCCTCCAAACACCTTCAACTTCTCCGCAAAATGCAGCAGCTGCGGGACGGTCACATCTTGGGACTCAGACTCCGTGGCGGAATCCTGAGATTCGGCAATGGGCAAGTCTCGGAGAAGGTGAGAGACCGCCACATACGTTCCCTTCAGACTTCCCTATCTGCCTACTGAGTAACTGTGAGTATGCTAGGACTGGGATGGACTGGGCAACGGTGAATGGTCAACTGGAGGGCTGGTCGAGCCCGATTCCAAGTGCTTGAGAAACAGATTCGACTGGCAGTGAGCTACTCAAAGCCAACCTTCGCACCCAGCCGAGTGCGGGCCGGGCTGCTGTGCAGCTCTGTGTCTGCGATGCCCGGGCAGCGAGCTCCTCATTGCCTCCTGAGGACATGAGGCACTCCACAGGTGCAGGGACCCAATACATCAGCGTTTGGGGTACCGGGGCAGGCACCAGCATGGTCCCAATGCTTGTGCGTGCACAAAACCTGGAACAGTTGTGGTGCAAGGCAGAGTGAAATCAGCCGAGTCGATCCGAGGGACCCCTTCCAATCGAAGGCCGCCGTATCCCGCGTAGAAGGTCTCGGCTATGTGCTCGAGGGCCTCCTGAAGGCAGGGCAGCAGTTTCCCAGCCCTGGGCCCCCCTGGGCCCTGGGCGGCCCCGGGCCGAGGTCCTCTACAGCAGCAGCATCGCAAGGATCGACCACCACTGCAGCCAAGCCTTGCCTCTGAACAGCGACCGCGCAAGAAGTGCCGCGCAGTCTGAGACTCAGGCAGCCGCGATGCCTGAGGCCATTCTGACTCCTCGCTTCGCTCGTTTCGCCAAGGCCCTCAGAGATGAACGACCCTCGATTCCGCGCAACCCGCAACTGTGAACAAAAAGCGGTTCGCGATGCCTCAGACACCAGAACATAGCAGAAGTTGTCGGTGAGGCAAGGAACTGCATGGACATGGCATACCTCGCGCGACGGACATAGGCCACGATGCCACGACAGGGCTCGCTGCACACTGTCGCAAGGACACTAGTTCCAGCCAGGCTGCTCCTCCGTCAGAGGGATAAAGGCGAGTGCGGATGTCACTGAACCGGCTGTGGTAAGGGCGCCTGTTTATCATTGACAGCTCAGTGTCCAAATAGACGAATGCGTGGATAACGAATTACAGATCATATGGGTGTGTCTCGGTCGGGCCCCATGATCCAGAGTAGGTACATGCGAGGGGGCAAATAAGTGGAGCCGAAGAAAAACAACAGGCCCCATGTCGACACGACGACATCACAGCTCGAGCTGCCAGTAGGAAGCGCTCAAGGGGTCGCACCTCATCCATTTCTTCTGAACTGCGCGAGAAAGCTTCACGTGCAACTTGCATATCCTTAACAGCAATTGGAATCGGTTGGAGCTATGGCTACCCTTGCACCGACTACGAGAAACGGAGGCAAGCGCCTCAGGGTGTAGGCATACTCCACGATGTGGCCAAAGTAGCCGAGGGCTGGTTGCAGCAGAAGCCGGAGCAGGAACCTGGAGCTGAGGGCTTCGGACATGCCACAGCTTAGCTCACACTTCGCCTCGGGATGGACAGCAGCAGTAGCATGACACCCAGGACCAGCATGTATATCCTGTGCAGAGTGGAATGGCCAGCAACCCGACGCAGTCTAGGCCGTCTGGAACCACAACTTGTCACAATGAACTCAGTTTGTGCTGCAACTCTTCCCTCCTGCAAACCAAGCATGACGTTAATGGATTGTAGATGGTCTCATCAAGTTCACCATCTGATGCAGGCGAGGATCAGCAGGAGGATGGAAACGACGACTCCGACCACATAGCGCCTGCAGCTTTAGTATCGTGGGCAAGAATCTTACAGCCGAAGTCTAGGCGAAGCCTCGTTTCACCACTCATGCCCTCAACACAGCAAGTTCTGAGAAGGCCACAAGCCCAGTCTACATTTCCCGGGTCGAGACCTGCATTGCATAGCTGTGCTCCTCTGGAAGTTTAGCACTGCAGCACAACGCCCCGATGTGATTGATACGGGGCTTCATGAGCTGATCGACTGAATGTTGGACCGCGTTAGGATAAAGTAAGGCTTGAATGCTCATAAACGCTGAAACACTAAACCCTAATGCCCTAAGGCACAAAACCCGCTCGGCTCGAAAACCTTCTCCCAAGGATCACTCCGCTCAACCTGTCCTCTACCTCACGGAAAAGTCTATGAAGACAAATGGCTTTTGCTTGCTGTCGCGACGGAAAAGATGCAAAGGGAGCACAACACGGCCTGCTAAACACCAAAACCCCACTTCGCCAGCAACTGCATCGAGAAGGGATCATGATGGCACGGCAATTCTGCCAGATCTCACTTCTTCTGCCTCTCTGGAAGCCATGGAGCGATCGACAAGAGCTGTGGCCTGAAGCGGCAGCAAGGTGCGAGGCAGGCGAGAAGGCAGATGGCGACTCTTTAGCATCCCTTCTGTTAACGGCCCTCTAGCATTTTTGGGCTGCGCTAGTGGGTCTATGGCAGTCCGCGAGACTTGCCACACTGAGCCTGCACCCCAGTAGCGCATGTTCCGGCCCGTTCTTCTCTGTCAATCATGGGAATGGGAAGCGGTGCGATACGGCTGTGGACTCCAAGCCACATGTAGGACAAGGGAGGTGAACCGTTGCGCCCTCGCCTAGGAATGAATAAATTACAAACATGATCACCCAGTCATTCAGACAGCCAGTCACTAACGGTATTGGACAAGATAGCTGTGGTCAGCCCTGGTCACTCGAAAAGTGAGGATCTCACGCTGTCATGGTGGACGACGCCTTCTGACCTCGAAGGAAGTCTGTGAGCGAGGCTGGCAGGGTCTTCCCTTGTCACCTTTCATGACTTCTACTGTTCCGGCTGGCCTGCGCCTAAAGCCTAGCGAAACACTCAATAGCTCCACGCAAAACAGCCTGGCTTGCTGGGGTCGCGACCGAGTAGGGGGACATTGAGGCTAAGCGTGGTGCTGGCTGACTATCATACACGAGCACGGACAAACTTCTCGACGTGCTAACCTTCGTGTCTTCAACCCTGGGAACAGCAAATGTCTTGCGCCACGTGAGGATTGGGGGAGCTGTAAGCTGACCTGCGTGCACATAAGGCGTGAGGAGGATGGACGAAGATTAGAAGCCAAACAGCTGCAGGTAAGAAGTCGTCCAATTGTGAAGTCTTGCCACCAAGAAGATCATTGACGCTATCCCACGCGTGCTACACCTCACCAGCCCAGGAGACCTCAAACAAATCAAAACAAGCCGGCCCGCAGAAGCGACATCCTGCAGAAGCAATTGCGCTCAAACGCTAGCCCCTCAAATTTGGCTGGACCAATCTGGAACGGGTCGCAGTGGCTTTGCTTGATCTCACTGATTTCTGAGCCAATCATGTGGATTTCCGATCATTATTTGGCAAGCCCGGCCGAGACATAATCATACCAAGCAGGCATTGACAAGTTGTGCAAGTGCTGCAAGTGCACAGTGTGTGGGTTCGGAGAGATGCTTCGAAAGCTCGCTTTTGTTCGAAGGCCAAGCACTGACCGAGGGTAGGCACATGTCATTTGGCCAAATCCTCATGCATTGTAAGGTGCACCGCACTCTGTGCAGACCCCGGAATGTGAGAACGCCCTGACCCTCACGCGTTTCGACTTCCAGCGCTACAAGCGGGCTGCACCACTCTCCACCTTGGTTGGCCGTGCATCTTACTGTTCTTCTCCCACGCACCGTGTGCGCAATGCCGCTGAGCATCAACAAAAGTTGTGATAGAGTGTGATGGTGCCTCTGTCATGACGGCACCCGAGCCAGCAATCCTGGCGAGCACACCAAGATTCAGCCAACCAAACACCGCCGTGTCAGGATGCCTCAGCATGAACTCCAGGCTGCTCTCCGACTGATTCATCACCTCGACATGCGACGTTGTTGCTATCCGTCCGCTGGCATCTTGGAGCTTAGTGAACAGCCAAACCGTTCGAAGGGTCGGACAAGCAGACCGAATAGAGCCAACCAACCAGAACCCCCAGGCGACGTCACAGCTGACAGCTGACAACACTGCTGCCTGTGGAATCAAAAAATTTACTTGCAAGTGCCATGATTATGCGGCTTTTCCAGTGCAAGAAAGCGACCACAATCGACAGGGTGTCATCCAAATTGCGCCATGCCGTGCACTCCAGGAGATCTCGGCTCGAGCTGCAAAGCACGCGTCGAGCCCCAGGCCGAATGTACCTGCAAAAAGCGCTCCCGGATGGAAGACACCAGAGACGAAACCGTGCAACGCGTTCAGGCTGCAGGCCGCAGTGTACTGTTACAGCCTATCGATTCTGAACATTGGATCCAACAGCCGCAACGTGGCCAGGCCTGGCAAAGTGGCCCAGAAACCAGTACGCAGGCTGCAGCAGGACTTCGTCTGTTCGTGTATCACAGATGATGGGAGCGAGGCAAAAGTTCCCCGCGTGGTTGGGGCCTCGCGACTCATGCTGACGACTCGCGCTGGAACACGCTTTTAGAGTGGCCAATTGCAGGCGAGTCGACCGCCCAGCTCGTCCAAGCACAGATTCCAGTCGATCCAGCCCTCGCAACCGGAGTTGAGGTCCGCAATGATGTTCATACCATAGCGCTCCCCCGTCTTATTCGCGAGAGAAAGAGTATCCCAAAGACTACGGCGTCACCCGAAATTCCGTCGAGTTACTATGAATCGAAGATTTCAGGGGCAGGATTCATCTTGAATTCACTACCGAATAGGTCGAAATATGGAAAGCATGCCGGCAGTAGATCAAGCTACCTTCCAACTTTCCAACATGGAGCTTAAGCTTCTTCCCCCCAGCTCTTGGCAGCCCTCCGTGAAGAGCAGATGCTTGTCGGGCCTGGCGACGGAAACAAAAATCGTCAGCAGCTAACTAGTAGCCAGTTGATGAACACATACCACAACAAGAGAAAGCATCATCTGCACACATAAAGCATCAAAGCACGCGCATAAGAGATCAGAGAGAGTCCGGAAGGCTACCGTTTGGGGACGAGGGTATGGACGGTATGGAGCGTTGCATTGCATAACCTGAAGTGGATAGGTGTCACGAGCAGGGTATTTCGAACTCGAATAGTTGAGAAAGTTTGAACGTATCAATCGTAGACCGAGATTGCGGAGTTTGGTTTGTGATTTGGAAAACGTAAAACATTCGAGACTGAAAACGGGCGCGAGTTTAGAGATTTTTGAACGGGAATCCAGATTGAAAGTTTGAAGCCATGGCGACATGTGCCGTGCGACGGCGGTGAGCTGGAGGACCCGTGATGTCCACGAACTGGAAGTTTGAACGGTTGGAATTTGAAGGCTTGAGAAGTCCGAGATTGAACGCTTGAAACGTTGAGAATTTGAGATGCTGGGAGCTTGAAAGTCCGAACATTCGGAGTTCGAACGGCTCGCAGGCTGAAAGATTGAAAGTGTGAGTTCGAAAATTTCAACAGCTGAGAACATTGAGATTCAGAGTTCGAACGCTCGAAGCTTCAGAGGTTGAATGTTCAAAGCACGAAAGCTTTGAAGGTTTGAATTACTGGAAGTCTGAACTCAAAGTTGAAGCTTTCATCTGCGCAAATTAAGGTTGTGTGTTTGTGTATTATCTGGCATTTACGCTTTAGGTCTTGGGACGAATTAAGGCTCCGAATTCGAACTGTCAGAATTGCCTGAACCGTCAACACCATCGTATCTGAAGCAAGGTCAAACGTACCTGAGTTCCAAAGATGAGGCCAGATTGACATATTGGATCCATCGCTGCGTTTAAGATACGGGATCAACCGATCGAATGAAGCGAGGTCAGCTTTAAGACATGCAACATATGGGATCAACAGCTACTGCTTGGTGAGGGGTCGGGTTTTGATATGGGACCAACGGCGGGTACCTGAGGGGCGGATCCGAAATACGGCTTCACCCGCCGTCGCACGGCCTACTGAAGTGCCGACGTCAAGACACGAGATCAAGCGCCATCGTCTACCGAGGTGCCGGCATACCTACGGTATGAACTTAAGAGCCATCGAAGGGGCGAGTTTAAGATATGGAATCAACCGCCATCGCCAAGTGAGGGGCCCGGTTTAAGCCTGGGATCAAGCGCGTAATTACCGAATGAGGGGCGGAATTGGGATACGAAATCAACTGCCATCGTGGGGCCTACTGAGGGGTCGAGTTCAAGATGTGAGATTAAGCGCCATCGCTTGACGAGGGGTCGAGTTAAGATTACGGCATGAGCAATGTCGCCATCGGCGCGTGAGGGGGATAGTTCAAGATCTGGGATAAACCGCCATCGCGTAATGAAGGCGCGGGCTTTATGACAGAAAAGTTTAGGATCAACGGCCATCGCTTAATGGGGGACGGATTAAGATATGAGATCAACCGCACTCGCCTCACGAGGGACCGGGTTTAAGATATGGAACCAGCCACATTGAGCGATTTGACGCAAAAAAACAACCGTCATTGCCTATTGAGGGGGATGCTCAAGATATGAGATCAGGCGCCACCGTCCAATAAAATATAAGTTCTGCCGCCATCAGTTAAAGAGGAAGTGAATTCAAGATGCGGCAACAGCTGCGGCAATTGAAAATTGAAAATTGAGAACTTTCAATCTCGAACATTCAAGCTGTCGAAATCTCCAACTGTCGAACTCGAAAGTCGCTGGACTGTCACGCTCTCGAACTCGGCGTGATTCCAATTTTCAAACTGCGGAATTTTCCAAACCTTCGAAGTCTCCAACTCTCGAACCTTACAAGTTTCAAATGCTCATTCGATCTCCAAACCGTAGTGTTCGTGCATCTCAGCCTCTTGTCGCGTCGCATTCTCAAGGCTTGCAATCTGGAAGGCTCTGATTCCACGAACTGGCTCATCCATAAGAGGAAGGATTAAAAGCAAGTCTTCCACATGTCATGGGAACAATCCACATATGCAAAAGGCATGCGGTGCAGAAATCCACCCCATAACTTGTTGTGCCAGTCCGACGATGGGATTGCAAGGAAAGAAAAATTTGATCTTGTCCACGTCCCCATTCACGGCGAAGCTGTAAACTGGGAATTAGTGCGCGAAAGCAACCCTTTGGAAACTGCTGGCAAGCGAATGTCAGTCAGATTAGCCAAACCATCCTGGAGATAGACTCGCGCCGCGGCAACAGACTGCTAGCCAGCGGGCTCGGAGAAAGATTTGCTTCAGGGCAACCCCATGGTCGACTCAGAAGAAGAGGCAGTACGGGTGAAGCTTGAGATCTTGAAGGTGAAAAATGCGCGCATGTGGCGGAAAGAGGTGCAAAAGGCTCTTGGCGCTATGCAGCCAGATGGTTGGCGGCAGGCCAAGTGTATCTCGAATGGAGACGAGGGCGCGAAGCGTCTCCACCACGACTGTGTCAGAAACGGTCACGGCTTCAATAGCACCAGCGCGGCGATTTGTTTTGGTGAGCCGAAGGCTAAGCACAGCCCCTGTGCTGCTTAAGTGTACGTACGTCAGACAGGAGCTCACCTGTGCGCGGAAGGCCGTGGAAAGCCAGCCCTGCCAGCATCCCCAACTCCAACTAGCTGGTGTGCACACACCAAGCCAAGAAGGCTGAAGCCACTTCGGCGGTTCAAGCTTTCGCCATGTGCAAGAAGCATGCGAGACGACCTCCGGCCCTTGCAAACAATTGAGAGAGTGACGAAACTGTCAACCAGATGAACCACTCGCTGTCCTGGCCTGGTGGCACGCCACTGGAGGGACGGAAGCAAAGCTCGCATCTCTTGGGCATTGCTGTGCTGCGCGAATTCCCATCTCTTATGAT